GCGAAAGCTCCGCGAAAGGCGCGGCGAGTGATGGGTTTTCGGGAAAAGGAATTTAGAACAGCCCCCATATGTTTTTAAACAGCCACATATTATGCATGGGGCTTAGGCTTTTGGACTTAGGGTTCAAGGTTTTCCAAAATTGTGGGGGGGGTGTACCTTTTTGGGGTCCCTAAAATAAGACTTTAGGATTCCAGGGTCTATATTAGGGTCCCCTTGTTTTGTGGAACTACCACTAGAGAGGTTAATTGCATGTGAGGTTTAGGATGTAAGAAATAATGTTTCCGTGTAAGGGATGAGATATATGACTGTGAGAGGGCTTCCATCCATCATGGAGTGGATTTCTTACCTGCTCGTCAGGTAGAGGAGTTTACGTTTCAACCCTGAATTTGGAATCCTTGGGCGGTAAGCCCTCAAACCCTGAACCACCCGAGAACCCTGCAACATACCCCTAAACGCTAAACCCTGAAGATTGTGTGTTTCTGGTTATGAGGACTTTGTGATGGTTTCATGTCGGACGAAAGTTTCAACAAGTTTTACAGTATTCAATCGGCACATCGGATGAAGTATTGATAGAGTGTCTTTAGGGCTTAGGGGCTTAGCTGCAAGGTTTCGACATGTGAAGATGAGCGTAGGGTTGCTCCCATTCATGTTTGTTCTTCACCTCCAGTGCCGCACAGGATGGGAAGCGAAAGTTGCAGCTGATGCTGGGCTGTTCTTTGGAACACTTGTTCATGTTCGCTGTCCGTTTCTGTCTAGTCGTTTTTTCAGTATTCTTGTAGCAAGAAATTGAGATACTTACCGGCTAAGAGAAGGCCGAAGGACTTGGGCAGAGCACAATGTCCGAATGCTGCAGCTGCACTTTTTCCGCACTGCAACTGGAATGCCATCTGAGCACTCAACAGCTCAAGTCCAATCCCACATCCTAAACCCTAATGGGCAAACCCCTAAAAACTGTGTTGGACCTCAGACAAAATCTGGCCGAAATTCACAAAATCCAAAAGAGGGAGCCCTACCCACCCCAAGCCCTGAACATTAAACCGTAGCCAAACACCCCTAGGCTCACCTCCTGCAACACTACCAAATTTTCAAGACCTGTTGGCTCCCTTTCTTATCTCACATGTAGACCTGAGAGTTGACCCAAATTGGGGAGCTTTTTTTGGGTCCCTATACTGAGGATGTTTGTACAAAGGAGTCTATTGGTTGTACCCCAATTCATGGAAATTGCTGTTTGAGTTAAATAGTTAGAAGGCATCATTTACTCTGCATGGCCTCCGAGGCTGTAGGTACTCCGAGTTACAAGTAGGCCGAAATGGTGAGGGTTCCGCGAACCAGGGACACGTTGTTTGGATGCTCTGGAATGAGGATGATAGCTTTTGGTGGGGGGCTGTATCAGGACCACCCCTTTTCTGGAAACTACTCAAACCCTAAGCCCTAAACCCCAAAGCCTAAACCCTAAACCCCAAATCCACAAGACCAACCAGGATAGAGAGGCACAAGCCATGGGCACCGACGAACCCGACCCTAGGCTTCTCCAGGCGTGGTTTAGGGTTTTGGGTTCAGGGTTCAGAGTATATTGTGAGTAATTGGGTGTTGGGTTTAGGGTTTGGGTTCGGGGATGAATCGATTTTTTTGAGTTTGGGGTTCAGGGTTTTGGGTGTTGGGGTGTTGGGTTTTCAGGTTTAGAATTTGGGGTCCGAGGTGCTAGGTGACCTTGTGGGAACTTCTGATCTTCTTGTGCACTTGTGGTTGTTCAGGGTGTCCATCCTTCATGTCCCATATGAGCTATAGTCTAAACTCCTAGTATCCCCCTTAATAACCCTTATAGTAGTCCCCTATATAACCTCCTCTAAGGTGTCCATCCTTCATGACACAGGCGGGCCCTTTTAACGGTGAAGGGAGCTTTTTTCTGCAGAGGAGACTGCTGTGATGTGCGTACATAGCCTAAACCCTGAATTTACACGCAGTACCTAGTAAGATCCAAGATTTCCAGAATGCACCAGACAAAAGACTGCCATGATGTCACCCATCCTTGTTTGAGGCGTACTGTAGACGCTGAAATTAATAAAAATACTGTGGTTCTAGCTTCCTTGTACAACTATCGTATAGGCTACCTCAAACAGTTCAAAGCGACATTGGTAATGATTTGGTCGGCTACAGTACCCTGTAACGGGCATCTTGGTTTCTACAATAGGTTTTGCCTCCCTTGAATATCTTGCGATGGATGCTACATATGCGCACGTTACAGCAATGCTTTGTCACATATGCCAGTACCTCCCCCAGTTCCGTGCTTCAGAAACAATAAGGGTGCGCCCTAAACCCTGGGTTTCTACTAAGCTGTGGAGAATTCCATTACAGGTAACGTCTGCACGACAGCCATTTGATAAAACTTGGTCTGGACCGAGGACTTCAATGTCAACGGTCATGTCGCTCGCAGCATTCTTCAGCAGAGAAGGTGGTTAGGTTTTAGGACTAAGGGTTGTGCTACAGTGCGACATTTTGCCAGGTTTTGAGTTTAGGGATTCCAGCTGATGAAATGCTCCTCAATGGTCCCTATGTATGGGGGCTTCTTGAGCGTGCGGTGCGTTCCCTTTGCAATGCCCCTTTTTCAGAAGGGGCCGAGTGTTCAAAAATAACCAATGTGGCTCACATCTAGGTCATTTTCAGCTGTAGTAGTTCAGCAATGGTTGGGCAATCGTGATTCTAGATTTCACGCGCACCAGTTGCCAACCTGTAGGGGCTCTAAGTACCTACCCGCTATCTTGAGCAGGTCTGTTTTTACGACGCCCCTGACTGATTCTGGGGCCAGGTGGTTTTGCAGCACAACTCCGCCACCTCACACCAAATCCTTAACGCCTCGATTCCATGTCACTCGACCCTGCAATTGCAGCCTTGAACCCGAAGCCGCCAGACCCCAGAACACGATACCACGAACCCCCCCTAAAGCCTAAACCCCCTATCTCTCAGGCCTCCTAAATCCGTAGCCCTGAGCCTGCGGGGTTGCAGTTCAATCTCCATGGCCCATGCTCATGGTATGGAATTCAGGATTCCCTGGCTATGATTTTACATACTTTGGGAGTTTAGGTCATCGCAAAATTAAAGTCCTTAACCTGCAGCCAACAGCATTAGATCTCGCATGTCTCACCGCTTGAAAGCCTACGGCACACTCCGGCCCTTCACTCCGAAGCAGCCATTAAAATAAGTCCTGTAAGGTCCTGAAGATTCAAAAAGTTGTGATGAGACTGAGTAAGCCTTCGTTGAATGATCATGGTTGAGTGGGAAAACGAAGCCCCAAACCGAAGAGACCCTCATTTTGCCAGGAAACCCTGAATCATGAATCTAAAGCCCTAAACCCGCTAAACCCCACAGACCCTAACATGCAACAGAACCCTAGCGGCCCAAGTGCCCAATAATCCTATAGTTGCCCAAACCCCGCTCTAACTTCTATTGCCCAAATGTCAAATACCCATCAACTCAGTAATTGGATTATAAACCCTAAACCCTAAACCCCAAGCCTCAAGCCCCAAACCCTAAACCCCAAACCCCAAACCCTAAACCCCAAACCCCAAACCCCAAACCCTAAACGCTAAACCCGAAACCCCAAGCCCCAAATCCCAAACCCCAAGCCCCAAACCCTAAACCCCAAGCCCCAAACCCCAAACCCTAAACCCTCAGCCCCAAACCCTAAATCCTAAACCCTAAACCCCAAACCCTAAATCCTAAACCCTATAGCCCAAACCCTAAAAGAGTTGTTAGTAGGGCTCCTACCTGGCTT